TCTTCAAACTAAGGAAATATAAAGTTATTAGGGAGGAAAACCCGTCAGGATAACAGCAGACTGACTGCTGGTAAAATATACGACAGGTCTGGACCACACGTGAATTTTGTTCGTTTCTGAAAAAAATCTTAGAATACAAAAACATTGGTGAATGCCACAAATTCTCCTAAATCACTCGTACGCACAACTTAAGAACAAATCTGTGCGTACGAACGGTTCTTGCATGAGGCCCATCCTTTAACACAAAATATGAAAGAATAAAATCTACATATGTTGATGAATATGATGATAAAATTGCCCAGACATTTTATTAAGACTTTTTTCCAGTGGTAAAATGTGCTTTACTGTCTCTGTGTGTGATATTTGGCTGAATAACAGTATAAATATGTGTGTTGAATAACTATCTGTCTTTGTTTGGGTTCTCCTTCAGGTTCCTGCAAAGTTCCGCTACCCGTTTTACTACGAGATGTGTTGGTATGTCCTAGAGAGATACCTCTACTGTCTGACCAACAACTCCCACCTCACACCTGAGTTCCAAAAATACTCACTTGGTATTGGTAAGAGCAAATAAACACACACACACACACCAAAAAAAAAAACTTAAAACCTTCCACCTCTGCCATTTAGACTGATCACTGACTTACGCCACTACTTTTCAGGGCTGACTCCAGCTGACCTTGAAATCAACGATCTCTCCATGGATGGAACTTCTAATGGGATTGACAGCGATGATGAAAATGAACTCACCGTTATAAAAGAAGAGGTCAAAGAAGAGGATGCCGAAGATGAACATTCTGCCCAGGTTCAGCATGTGCTGACCCCCTTTGAGCTGGATGGCCTGTGGAACCTGATAGGAAAGCTGGAGGAGCTGCCGGCCCACAAAAAGTGTGTTCCTGCGGGGATCAGAAATGCWGCGGCCCTGCTCGAGGACATGAAGGTGAGTATCTCTGGATTAACTCTGAGATCTTGTGTGTTGAACTTGGTTGACTTTTGCTAATGYTCACCACTCAACTTTGGCTCTAGAATGTTTTGCAGAAGTGTGCAAATGACGACATTAAGCTTGCCTACACTGGAGAGCCTATTATCAAATGGCCTAAAAGGGTGAGCATTCACAAGTTTATTTTTACTGTTACGTCCCTCATTGCGCCTCATCACACAGGCCTTACCATAGAAATTATTTAAGCACAACACAGACAAACTTAAATCTGTACAACTGTCTGCTTCTGACTTTGTGCAGCCTTTGTGGTACCAGCCACCCACTCCTCCTCCACCCGTTCTTTACCGTCCTCCTCGGTTGGGCCCGTCCCTCCACAAGTCTCAGAGGCCCACCAAAGGCACGTCCATTTCAGCTCTGAGGCGCAGACGGGTGAGGTGCAAGCGCTGCTCCGCCTGCCGCAGGAAAGAGTGCGGCGACTGCCAGTACTGCCATGACATGAGGAAGTTCGGCGGGCCTGGACGCATGAAGAAGGGCTGCCTCCTGAGACAGTGTCTAATGGTAAGACATACTTGAGTAACATTTTAAAAGTCCAGCTCTCACTCTTTACATGACACATGAAATGGGTTAGTGACCGACATTGCACTGAATTGCACAGCTGAAACGGAAGTTTTCACAATGTTTTGTCCGTCYGTCCTCCAGCCCGCCTTGCCCAACACTGCTCGGTGTGCCGTTTGTGGAGAGGGCGAGTTTGATGAATCAAATCCAAGCACTCACTCTCTCATGGAGTGCACACTCTGTTCACAGATCGTTCATCGTCAGTGTGTTAAGGTGAGTCTTACATACAATTACACAATGAAGGCTACTTATTTATCCAATTCCAGAACACTGTATAGAAACAGATTTTTCCCCACTCAAACAATTTTAAGCACAAAAAGGGCTCGTTAGACTGTAGATGAAGTCACCCCCCCCCCCCTTTTTTTTTGTAGGTCATGAATATTGTTCTATTTTACTGACTGAGTGCACACTTTTATAAGAATATTTAAACAAACTGACGCTGTACACACACACAACTCTGCATTTAAAGCTGCATTTGTTGGTCAACTTATCATTTGAGTTTCAGACATTAAATTCTCTGTTACAGGAACCTGGTGAGGGGAAGATCAATAAGGACCTACCCAGCTGCTGGGAGTGTCCAAAGTGTTACCAAGGCAAAGGCTCTGACTCGGAGGTACACGCATCCTAATTTTATTTTCATTCAGCTTTCCGCTCAGTCAGTCTGATTTATTTATTTWTTTTCTCCCATTGTCTGTGTTTCTGAACTTTTTGTTGCTCTGTGGTTGATTTTTGATTTTCAAATTAACTGTCACTTCAATATCAGTCTTCCAGTGAGGAGGAAAGTGCTGAGTCGGATGGTTCAACGTTCTCGCCTCAGCCCAAACTCGGCTATCAGGAAGGCACCGGTGGTGCAGGAGACGGGTCGAGACGAGGGAAACGCAGTAGACCCCCAGGCCGACAGACGGCCCCGCCCCCTTCACAAAAACTGCTGCTGCAGCATCAACAGAATCGCAAAAGAGAGAGTGCGCTGGAGTACAGACTGAAGAAGAGGGTAAATACTACAGGCTTTAGATGCTTTGAACTTTCCAGTATATTTTGTGTGTATTTGTTAAAAGGTTTTGCTTTCTATTCCTCAACCACTTGCAGATAAAACTGGAAAGGACCAAACTTTTAAGAGTGAGAAGTGTTTTTCTTTTGCATGGTTTCTAAATTCAAATTGACAGTTTGTTGTAACCTTCTGACACTAGAGATTGAATAATGATTTATCCCCATCCTGTACCGTTAACCCTCAGAAACAGGCGACTCTAGATCGCTCTCCCAGGCTGCTGAGCTCCCGCCTGATGTCCCGCCTGCACTCTCCGAGCAGCAGACTGTCTCAGAGCAAAGGTCGAGGCTCGGCCTGGTCCAGCAGCTCGTCTTACAGGAGCGCTCCAGGAGGAACCGGCTCCTTCCAGCAGCGGCAGCAGCAGCTGGTGCTCGAGCCAAAGGGAGAGCCCCGCAGAGGGAGGGGGCGAGGCGTGAGACTGCGGGGAGGAGGAGCGGGGCGAGGCGTCAGCGGTGGGCAGAGCCGCACTGACCTGGAGGAGGAGAGCGAGGACACCAGCAGCAGCAGCACCAACAACAGCAGCAGCAGCGACGATGACGACGAGGAAGAGGAGAGCGGACTGAACATTAGGAGAGGAGGGGACAAGGAGAACCAGCCCCAGTCCAGGCGAGGAGGAACGTCCGCGAAAGAGCAGGAGGACGATGGGGGTGAGGCGCCCAACCAGAACGGTGCAGAGGATGACGAGGAGGAGGAGATGGAGCAGGACATTCCTAAAGGGGACAAAGATAGCTCCACTCTTAAAGTGACTCTTCAGAAGCCACCCAGAGCAAAACAGGACTCGTCAGCCATCGTTCCCAAATTAGAGGCTGTTTCCTCTCAAACTGCCACTTCTGCAACGCACAACCAGAGCAGAACTCTCATCAGACCCCCTATTAGGAATTGCGGTCCTCGTCCGGATCATCACTCGCACAGACACGTGCCTCCACAAACCCGGAGCGGACACACGTACTCTCACCCGTCCCACCAAGAGAGACTGGACGTGTCTAAAAGGTCGAGACCAACAAGGCCGGCCAAACTGAGCAACGGGGCCGCTTCGTCTTCATCTGAGCTCCAGCACCTCCGCATCCCCCTGTCCGCCCTGCAGGAGGGAGGGGGCGAGGCGGACAGGGAGAGCACCGGGAGCAACCCGAGCTGCGAGAGGGAGGTTTGGGTGTCGGTCTTTCGCTACTTGAGTCGTGCGGATTTGTGCGTCTGCATGGCCGTCTGCAAGAACTGGTACAAATGGTAAGACGTGATTTATTCTCACATAAAGCTACAATGAGAGTTTGTAGTGATCGAATTTAAACGTACAGATATTGGCTGAAGACAGGAACATCACAGCCTCAAACTGCAGCTGTGTCGTTATTATAGAAGTATTTTTATTGTAATTAAATTTGTGTTGATTCGTTAATGAGAAATATATGTAAAAATAACAGTCTTCTCTGGGGTAGCAGGTTTCAGCACCTCGCTGACACAGCAGAGGTTTTCTTCCCAAAGTGTGAAGAGCTCAACGTCTGCTTGAACACATTTAACAGATTTTTCCTTATAAAATCAGTAATTCACATGCCAAGCATTATTAAAACACTGTCAGTTCCAGTTTCCATTGTTAGACGATGAAAGGTGATAAAAACACCATCCAAGTGTCATCAGAACATTTGTGTGTGCAGCTGGCTGTAGATCAGAATCAGGTTTATTGGCCAAGTATGTTGACACACAAGGAATTTGTTACCGGCAGTTCATGACTCTAGTATCAACACTGTACAGACACTTAACATAAAATTCACACACGTTACACTATATACAGAAAGATTCACATTGTACTTCACTTAATCAAAAACTATATGACAACAGTATTCAAAGTTAATATTAAGTAATAATACGACAGCAGCAGCGTCGAGGTAGATGATTATGAATAAGGAGCAGTAATGTAGAATAAGAGTGATAGTTCTCTGTAGTTTTGAATATATGATCTAGCTGATGGATGTCTGATGATCAGCTGTTGATGATGGCGATGGCCTGGGGGAAGAAACTCTTCTTGTGTCTGACAGTCTTAGTGGACAGAGTTCTGTAGCGTCTGTCAGACTGGAGGAGTTGGAACATGTTGTGACCCGGGTGTGTGGAGTCTGGGATGATTTTCTCAGCCCGTTTCCTGGTTCTTTCGCGATACAAGTCCTGAATGCAGGGCAGTGAGGCTCCGATGACTTTCTCAGCCGTCCTTACTGTTCGCTGCGGCCTGTTCTGTCTTGTGTCAGCTCCAAACCAGACTGTTATGACATGCACAGGATGGACTCAATGACTGCAGTGTAGAACTGGATCAGCACCTCCTGAGTTAGGTCCGACTTCCTCAGCTGGCGTAGGAAGTACAGTCTCTGCAGGGCCTTTTTGAGGATGGAGGAGATGTTGGACTCCTACTTCAGGTCCTGTGAGATGGTGGTTCCCAGGAACCTGAAGGACTCTATCGTATAGACACGGGGCTGTTGAAGACTGTGGGGGGTAGCAGATCTGGGGGGGTGTCTCCTGAAGTCCACTCTCATCTCTACAGTCTTGAGCGTGTTCAGCTCCAGGTTGTTCCGGCTGCACCAGGACATCAGTCGTTCCACCTCCTGTCTGTATGCAGACTCGTTGTCATCATGGATGAGTCCGATGACTGTAGAGTCATCTGCGAACTTCAGGAGTTAAACAGACGGGTCATTAGAGGTGCAGCCATTGGTGTATAGAGAGAAGAGCAGTGGAGAGAGCACACGCCTCTGAGGGGCACCAATGCTGATAGACTGTGAGGAAGACATGATTTTCCCCAGCTGCACCTGCTGTGTCCTGCCTGTCAGGAAGCTGGTGATCCACTGACACATGGCAGGAGAAACAGTGAGATGGGAGAGTTTGGTGGAAAGAATGTCAGGGACGATAGTGTGAAACGCCGAGCTGAAATCAAGAAACTGGATTCTTGCAAAAGTCCCCGGGTGATCAAGATATTGCAAGATGAAATGCAGTCCCATGTTGACTGCATCATCCACTGACCTATTTGCCCGGTATGCAAACTGAAGGGGTCTAGCAGATGTCCAGTGATGTCCTTCAGGTGGGTCAGGACCAGCCGTTCAAAGGACTTCATGACCACAGATGTTAAGGCGACGGGCCTGTAGTCATTCAGTTCTGTGATGGAGGGTTTCTTGGGGACTGGAATGATGATGGAGCGTTTGAAGCAGGAGGGAACTTCACACAGCTCCAGTGATTTGTTGAATATATTTGTGAAGATTGGAGCCAGTTGTTCAGTGCAGGTCTTAAGGCAGGAAGGTGAGACACCATCGGGTCCTGGTGCTTTCTTGATCTTTTGTTTCTGRAACAATCGGCTCACATCAGCTTCGTATATCTGGAATGCAGCTTGAGTGGTGGGGGAGGGTGAGATAGAGGGTCCTCACTGTCTTGTTGATGAGCTGTGGGATTGTAGAGAGGTGTGAATGTGTTCTTCTCGAACCTACAATAGAAGCTGTTCAGGTCGTCAGCAAGGGCTTTGTTAGCCTCGGCGGATCGGCTCAAACATGCAGTGACAGGATATCAGTGGAATCCTCTTCTTCACTAAAAGGATTTTATTTATACATTTAAAAGGCTGAATTAGTTTAAGTTTAGAAAAAGACTTGTTAACGTGTATCTTACCTCCCTGTGAAAAGATAACTCCGCCCCAAGGCGAAATTTGAAAAATGCATCAAAGTGGGTAGGGGAGGGGGTGTGGGTAGGGGAGGGTGGGTTAGAG